GCACTGACCAGAGCAACGAGGGGATAGTTCGACGACTCTTACGAGGTCTGTTGACACAGCGAGACGACACTGACCAGTGCAACAAGAAGATAGTTCAGTACATCAAGCAGAAATTAGAAGCTAATCTTCCTGCAGAGAGATCCATCAATCTGTTCTACTGTCTGAATGAACTGAACGACCAAACTCTGGTGAATGAGATTCAGACCCACCTTAGCAAAGGAAGTCTCTCATCTGGTGACCTTTCACCTGCCCAGTGGTCTGCTTTAGTCTTTGTGTTGTTGACATCAGAGAAAGAGCTGGAGGAGTTTGAGCTTCAGAAATTCAAGAAATCAGACGAGTGTCTCATCAGATTATCGGCAGTCATTAAAGCCTCCAGAAGAGCTCTGTAAGTCTTTTAATATATTTTGTCATGTTTTACTCTCATCTGAAAAATGCATTTATCCCTATAAACATGAAGCTATACCTTTAAAGCTGTTTGTGTGTGTGTGTGTCAAGTCAAGTCACATTTATTTATATAGCGCTTTTCACAATACAGATTGTCTCAAAGCAGCTTCACAGTGATAACATGAAAGTAGTACAACACAGATCAATAATATTGTTAAATATTAAATATTAAGTAACCCCGACTAAGCAAGCCAAAAGCAAGGCGACAGTGGCAAGGAACCAAAACTCCATCAGATTGGATGGAGAAAAAACCTTGGGAGAACCCAGGCTCATCGGGGGCCAGTTCTCCTCTGGCTTACATTCATATTATTTATATATAAATATTAAATAAAAATATTGTTTATGTATAAAACGGCGCCATAACATATCGCAGGCGTTGAGTCGTCTCTTTACTGGCGTTGTGTGTGTGTGGAGACAGTTTATCACAACTTAAAGGATCTCTGAGCGATGTGGGGCCAAAACATTTTTTGTCACATACATCAAACGTCTCCTCACTATCGGCTAGCTGCCTGTCCCCTAAACACACTGTAAAAAAACTCGGTCTCTGTAGACACCACAGGCTCCACAAACGGCAATAAAAACAATCATGTCTCACCCGGACCACGAAACCTAACAAACAGTGTTCCAGCCAATCACTGGCAAGAAGTATTTGAGGGTGGGTCTGGGGGGTTAGTGTGCGTGCACATGAAGGGTGTGTGTGTGTGTGAAGGAGAGACTCAGAGAAGCATAAGAGGGAAGTTTGAAAAATGGATGAAACACGCCCAAAGAGACGTCGTTCTGAAGAACAAATTAAAAAGAAGAAGGAGTCGGATAAAGAATGTGCGAAGTTCTGAATTTACATCGGTAGCAAAACTTTTGAACAATGGCGAGAACTCCGGCGGCAGAAGGGCTTCCAGTCCGACATTCAGGTTGCTCTGTTTTTGCTTGACAGGTGGGTAACGTTAAATTGTTTTTTTTCTTCTAAATTGACGCTTATGTTCGCCTAGTCTCGCGTAGCCAGACCTTCAGACTGACGGCTGAAGGTCTGGAATTCATAGCAGCTTTCTTTGGCCAAGGCCCACCCATAAGGCCGTTTGACCGACATGTCAAACAACCAATTACAGTTCGTTTCGTTCAGCGTCACGTTTCGGGGCGTGGAAATGTCCCCACAACAACAGACCGGCGTGCAACAAGTCAGTCAGCAGCAGTCACCGGAGGTGCTCGTTAACAACGGTCCGCGTTATTAAATTCACCCACGAACTCGCGCTCATGTCCATCTTATGCCCGCTTTGTCACACGGCCAGTTCAACCTCGTATAAATCAGGTTATGTGTGTAAATCACGTGCTCACGAGCGCTCACTCAGACACACTGTCCCCTGCGCTGCTCGTGCGTCACAGTTATGTTCATAAAGCACTCCCCGTTCACTGTAACCGGCTCGTCTCATTCAAAACAGCCAGCTGTAACGTTAGCTGTCAGCGAGCCGCCGCACATTGAATACTCGCAGTCAAACGTTTGACTCTGCAGTATCTTATGCACCTTATAATCCAGTGTGCGCCCTATATATGAATACTGAATCTCGGCCAGCTGCGATGTCAGCGTCTGTTGTTTCATGTTTGCCCACAAACGCGGCTGATATCCCCTTCGCAATTAAGCACTTCACTTGATCTTCCATAATCGATAGGAGGGGACATACAACTACGTTTAGCTGATCTTGATTAATGCTCATTGTCACTCATAAACACAACAGTTTTTTTTCCGCAATCACACTTCTGCGCTTTGTTTCCCGGCGGACCGAAAATAAACGCGACACTGACGCCCCCCGGAAATCCGATAAAATTCAACCAATCAGATGACGACTTCGACATTCCTGAAGTGTTTCCAGTTAAGTGTACCATATGCATCAGACGTTTAGCCAACGTTCCGTGGGCGTGACGTCTGAGGCTGAGACTAATGTTCGCCAAACCCACACAAGGATATAATTAGCTAGAAATGCACGTTCACAATTATTTCAGGAAGCACGGAAGGGAGGGGGAGGAGATGAGATGCGGAGGAGGGAGGGTCTAGCTAGCCTCCGATTTGTTTGAAAATATTCCGAACGTCAACAACACCCAGGATCGCTTACAGAACCTTTAATACAAAATATAAAATACCATATAAAATTGTTTGGATGTTTGTTTTGTATCATATGATACACCAGACTTGTATGACTCGTATATAATTATATATGCTATCACCTACTTATACTTGAGGAAGAAAAAAATCCATATTTTATTTATATTACCCAAACTGGAGGGAAAGAATGTCATTTGATACTAAAATAAAATACCTACATCTCACCACATCATATACTAGTTGTCCCTCAGTTTCCCCCAGTAATTATATATTTAAATGCTTATTTCTATGAGTACTTCTGTAGTTTAAAGGGTTAGTTCAGTATTTTACACTTAAGTTAAAGCCCTGTTTTAAGATCGTTTCTGATGAAATAGAACGGTTAAGATTGAAATTTGGCCAAAAGCTGCTGTCCCGAGAATTTTAGGTTTGTGTGTTAGCACCCTCCACCTACACAATGGTTGTCTATGTGCACTGGAACAATCATTCATAAAACGCATTAAACTTTAGTTTACTAAGACGTGAAACTCACTGAGGGGTTTGGGGTGTTCACTGATATGCTCACACAAAAATCGCTGCAAAAGATGCTTTCCAACAGGTTTTATTGTAGTTTTTTCAAAAACAGTATTGCAGTAGACATACAATTTAAAAAAAAGAAACACAACAAATTAAATGTATTTTGCTATTACATTATATCTTCATACAAAAATAAAAACTTTTGCAACTAAAAAGTGCAAAATGCCAAGCTTTGGCCAGCTTTCAAATACATTTAATTTAAGTTTAAAATAAAACTTAAATAAAAAGCTTTTATATTTAGCTTTAAAGTGTTGTAGTCAGATCAAACAAACAATCATGCTAAATGAAGAACTTAACCACCAGTCAACCTGGTACTTCATACTCTTGTGGGGTGCGCACTCTTCAATCTATCGCCGTATCGCCGATGAAATCACAAAATAAAATGCACACAAACGTGTCCCTGCTTGATATAGACTGTAACCACTGATGAACATATTCGGTTTTGATGAGAGAGAGGAAAAAACTATATAAGTTCAGATAAGAACCCGTAAAGTCTGACACACTTGGCAAAAGATCTAGCACTAGACCATTTAAGAACTCAAACAAAATATGCGGATCGATGGATTCATTTAGGGGTTGAGCAGAGAGGCTGCACAGTTTGACCAGCGGGCAGCGGCCGCACACCAGTCCCCCGGATGCTGCACTGCAAAAACTCAAAATCTTGCCAAGTATATTTTTCTAATTTCTAGTCAAAATATCTCAGCTCACTTAATATAAGACAAAATTACCTAAAGACCAAGATTTAAGTAAGATACAGGAGCTTGTTTTTAGACAGTGCATCTTGAAAATCTTGTTAAGTGAAACTGTCTTAAAAATATCTTGTTTTGAGTCATATCTCAGATGAAACAAGCTTTTTTGACATTTTGACAGTTTTTTAAGCTGCTGTGTTATTTGTAAAAGATGAATCGTCTTGTTTCAAGAAACAGACTTAACTTGAATTGAGACAAACCTGCTTCATTGAAAACTGCAGGCCAACATGCCCAACTCACAACAACTCACAATGACATGACAGCAAAAAACAAAAAAAACAAACAAAAAACGTAATTTATTTACGTATAAACAACTTTACCAACATACAAATTTATATGTATTCCTATTTAACTTATGCATATTAAAATCGTGGTTTTGACTCTATTGCATTCAATTGTCTTATCAATTAAATTTTCAGTCTCATTTATTAATAGTTTAACGTTACTCATAAATAATAACATTTCGTTCTGTTCGTGCCTTTTGCTGCAAACTCGCTTTGAAGCATTAGCCTACATGGTGTTTAACAATAATATACTTTAAAACCTTCCCATATGGAAAAGGTTTGCTAAAAACTCCTGTGATTTGTATATGTTCCAACAGAATATTGTAAGGGACATATGCAAAAACCACATATATAAATTGCATAATATTAATGTATTTTTAATCATATTATGTAATATGTGTTCTACAAACAACTAAAGCAATATAGATTTTCATGAAGTAAAAACAAAAAAAATGCAAATTTAATATGAATTTCCAGCATGGATGTGTATAAACAGAGGACAAGATAAGAACCAGCATGAGGGAAGTACAGCCTACTGATTGATTTATTTACTGCACTGAGTCGAGGGGCCTATGCCTGTATCAGTCATGGTTACATACTGTATAATCTGTCTTAGATTAAAAACACAACATTTAAACTACACACACGCAAGCGCACATTTTAATTACAAAATTATTTTTATTAGAATGTGTTCTACAAGATGCAGTTCCATATTTCACATATCAATAGTTTTCATTTTATATCCTGCATCGATTTCATTTTCATTTGTGACAATTTCTCTAAACTTTATCACAGTACTACTATGGTACAACCTACAAACAAAAAACTTTCCTAAATGTTGAAGTGTTGATTAACTAAACTGAATATAATTTACTCAATAGTTTGAGTTGAACATACCGAAATAAATGACTAAAACTCCAACAATTAATTTTGTCTGAAATTTACAGTTATATTTAAGTTTTTCACTAAAATAGGCTAATTTAGTTTTTGACTAACCAATTATTAATTTAAAATACACTTAGCTAATATTTGTGAAATTTCCATCTCAATATTTGAGACTGGATAATTAAACTGATCTGTCTCAAGAACCACAAATATTTCTAAAATAAAATCAATATTATTATTTAACACGCATAAGAAATTAATTAAGTTTACTCAATTAAAATGTATTTTACTGTCTATGATTACAACAACGCACCCCTCCCCACCCTCTGACGTGACGACAACTCAACGGTTGAACTTGAGTGAGCGCTGTTTGAACTTGCGGTTGCGCGCTGTTTGAACTCTCCCAGTCCAGAAAAGAACAGATCTCTTCTCCTCTTCTCTTCTCATCGGCGCAGAATTGGAGCATTTCCACCTGACATTAAGGTTTGTTTGTTTTATTTTATCTGTATAATCATTAATATGCTTTAAATAATTTTATTTAATGAAAAAAGAACATACAGAGACGCAATGTTACTCAACGAGTGTCGACTTGCGCCTGCCTTTTCGCGTGATTGTAAGGCCTTGCATAAAAAAAAAACACACGACTTTATTCTTAAAGATAATGGATATAACTAATTTGGATGATAAAATGTCCTCAGAACTGTGCACTGGTTGTTTATTGGCAGGTTATGGAGTCAGTCGCGTCGCAGCATTTTTCGGCTGTGAGTGACGCAGGACGGCGGTCTAAATTTAGAAGTTTCCCCGCAGAGGCGAGTCCATCTCCGGCATGGGAACCAGCGCTGACCCGGTGAATACTGGATAACAGACCGGTTATTACACTTGAATTACTTTAATGTTTAGGCCTAAATGTTTAATTTTTACATCGAAAATGTTTCTTACATGAGTTTAGATGTAGTCAATATTGTACAACTTATGTGTTAAAAATAGAATAAAATATGTTTGCTGTAATGTTAGGATATTAATTGACAATAAAGGCCGTGTCATGTAGTTATGCTGGTGGTTGTATGGAATATTTTACAAAGGTTTAGAGGAAATAAAAAAAGTTAATGTTACTGCCATATAAACACAGTTTATATTACTCATAATTATTTGTTTTTAAATGTTTCCCCCCAATTATTTCTACTCAAGTTTATTTGTTAATGTACCAAATGCAGTTACTCAGATCTATTTAATTTGTTTTACTAACATTTACTCAGTTAATACAGTGTAAGTAATTGCTTTCACTGCTTAAAAATTTAATCAATATTCTAAGTTTAAAAAGGTTAGTAAATCATATTAAATGTTTTTAGAGTGCATCAACACCAGAGTTCATGTCACATATAAAAACATATTCGAGCCAATTTTAATCACTGTTCTAGAAACATATTTGATTCAACTTTGTTCATTTGCAATAATATGTTGTTGTTTTTTTATGAATTTTTTTCTTCTGCTGAACAAGAAGAAAGATATTTATTTGGTACCGGTTTTGACATTTTCTCACTAAATAAATTATTGCGATTTAAACATGTAACGTTATGTTTGTTGTTTTTATTTATAATTGTAACGTTAGTTACATAGTTTTAAGAAATGGGTTAGGGTAGGATTAGTGGGTCAAACTATATTTTAATGCTTTATTGTTAATAAAACTGCCATTGCCCTACACATTATGTTCATTACGTTTTATCCTTTTAAAGGGATTGTTCACTTTGAAATTAATTTTTGATTTGTTTTCGCTTACCTCAAGGGCATCCAAGATGTAGGTGTCTTTGTTTCCACAGTATTTTCAACTTTGACATTATTTGGTCGAACCTGTGTTGTCTGTCAGTCATATAATGCAGGTTTAGGGGGTCCACCTCAAAGAGCATGCACAGAGAAGTCAAAATTAAACATGATTTAATGACTCTTGAATGTAAGTACACACTGATGGCCAAAGACACGAAATGAGCGGAGGGGGTGGGAAAACGAACAGTATTTATATAGTTTTTACCTCTTGTAAACAGCCATGTCGAACTGATCTGAATCAGATGTTGCTGACGCGCGAGAGATCACTTCTGGCGTAATGTTGGACACGGTTCGGTTCAGTTTGACATCTGATTCAGATCAGTTTGACATGGCTGTGAACAAGAGGTAAAAACTATATAAATACTGTTTGTTTTCTCACACAAAACGCTCGTTTCGTGTCTTAGGCCATCAATGTGTACTTACATTTACGAGTCATTAAATCATGTTTAATTTGGACTTCTCTGTGCATGCTCTTTGACGTGGACCCCCATACCTGCATTATATGACTGACAGACAACAACGGTTTGACCGAAAAATGTCAAAATTGAAACTACTGTGGAAAAGAAGACACCTACATCTTGGATGCCCTTGAGGTAAGCTAAAACATCAAAAATTAATTTCAAAGTGAACTATCCCTTTAATATTGTCTATAAAATCGGTATGTTTAGGTGTGGGAGTAGGGTAAAGAGATTTTTCATTTATAATCTATAAAATATTCTACTATGTTTTTATATTGCAGCTCCATAAATACTTTTACCGTTTTGTGCAGTCCTCTGGGAATTTTTGCGGTTTAAAAAATTAAATAAAAAAGGTTAAATGTAAGTCTATTTTTCACTTTTTCTGTCTAGTAAACAGTAGTTAATGTCTTAAATCTAGTAGGTAAAATGTCTTGAATCTAGAACCATGTCACTTTTGTTGAGCTTACAAGAAGGTATACACTTGAGATGATTACAGTATGGTAAATTATGGCTTATTATGGCAAAAGAGGACTGCCTAATATGAGTCAGGAATGCTAACTTCAAGGCATTTTGTCTCAAAATGCCAGTTTCCAATCTTATTTCAAGTTGGTGGTGACTTGTATCTAGAAGAGTGTAACAATTATAGAACTAAAAATTAGTTAAATACACTTGAAACAAAGAGGATGACAAAAGAAAATGCTACTTTTGAGGGGAAAATGCTATTTTTGAGCATGACAAGCTTATTATGAGACACAAAACATCACAATACTAGTAAAATATAGCTAAAAATGAGTTTTCCCTGCTAATTTCAAGATCACTCATATCTTTTAAGGCTTAAATATAATGTCTTATTTCAAGAAATCTTACCAAGAGAATTTTCACTTGTTCCATTGGCAGATTTTTTTGCTTATTACAAGCAAAAATATCTTGTATTAATTTTTTTTTGCTTATTTTTGGAGGGGCATTTTTTCCAGTGTGTTGCTAAGAACTTACAATTTATCACTATTATCAGACCGGCCCTCGCGGCCTCGAAACACTACGAGTGTCCCGATTGCCACTCCGCCCCTGCACGCCATTACAAAATATAATATGGTGGGCCGTTATCGGCGTTAACTTGCTGCGTTAAAGTGAGACTCTTATCGAGCGATAAAAAAATATTGCCGTTAATCTATTCTCAAAGTTGGGTTGGGAGCTGGGTCCATACTATACAAGCTATGATGACTTTTACCTTGATATTTTAGCGCAGATGTATACCTAGCCGAATTGCACTGTAAGGGGCATTTAATACAATTTAGGTGTACAAAAAGTAATAATACCCATCGGTTAAAGAAAGGTTGGCTCTCCACGGAACATAAAATATTAATTTTGTATTATTTTTTATGTACGCATTTATGAGGGAAAAACGATGTTATGTGACAGTTCCCCATTACGGACTTGACCACTCTGAAAGCGGCACTGAAAGACTGCTTTAAAACTTTCACATTAAACATAAAGCACAAAGCCTTTCATTAAGTTGAATTTCGTTTTTTATTAATTGTATGTTAATTTTAATCAATGTTTCATCAACCAGTTGCCTGGATTTAATAAATAAGAAATAAATATAGCAGACAATAGATAATCACGACACAGAGGCGTCAGCGCGTGAACTGAAGCTTGTCTTGTGAGTCATAAATGAACCGAAACACAGCGCATAAGGCAGGCCAACTTGCCTCAGTAGTACAGTGGGTGCCATGAGGTGCGACTGTATAATGTAGAGAATAATTACGAAAATGGAGAGAAAATATAAATCGGGCGCATTAAAAGGAAAAGAACGAGATAGTCTTTGTGTTTTATTAACATGAGCTTACTTGGCTCAACAAGTGACACTTTATTACATATGGTAGCAGAGAGCCCCATGATGAAGAGTCTAGCTCCGCCTCTGCTCATCTTACAAACTACCTGTAAGGTTATTTTTTTGGGTAGCATACATATTCTGAATGCCTTCAATGCCTGAATGCCTTCATGAATTCAAATGAGCCATTTTAATCTAGATTAATTCCAAGATTACAATGAGATTAATCTAGATTAAAAAAAAAATCTATGCCCACCACTAAGGCATAAAAAAAAAAAGTTCAATTCCAGTCTCTTCCAGTCAATTTATGTGCGACCCAAATTTATTTTATGAGCTTGGGGAAGAAATAATACACATTTAAAATCAGCTTGTGTGTGTGTAACATGCTGGGACACACAAGGTGGTAGTACATGTACAGGTAGGCTATGTTATTGAAAAACAGAGTCGCCTATCCATCGCTACTGTAAAGTAAAATTAAAAAAATAATAATAATAATTTCCTTTCTATCCCTTGCTGCCACTGGAGAAAAAAACAAAAAAAAACTACCAACCCATGACCTCAACTGACATCCAACTGTAACCAAACTTTTTTTTAAAAATGTTATGCCTAATATATATATATATATATGAATCTTTTTTTTTGGAATTCTATTAATCGATTTTCAATCGGTAAAGCTTGAATTGCGATACAAATGTGAATCAGTTTTTGTGCACACCCCTAATATTAAGTGTCCCCAATTAAGAAAGACAGAGGCAACACTGGCAAGAACCTAAACTCTATCAGGTGACATAAATAGAGAAAATATCCTATACATAACAGCTTTACACAAATATTTTTTCAAACATGCTTCATTTTGTCTTGGAAATTTGTCACTGTATAAAAAACACTATTGTAGGAAATTGTAGTTTTTAAAGGTAAATGTTAGTTTAACTCAGCCTCTTTGCTGTATATGCTGTTTATGTATTAAATAAGTGGAAAATTTCATTAATATTAGTATATAGAAAAAGTATTGTATGTGTTCAATCCAGGGCCTGAAATAAACACCCGACCACCTGCCAAATGCGGGTGAATTTTGCTATTGGCGGGTAACACTGTCAATCTACCTGCCACATTGGCGGGTAGCCAATGAGAATTGAGTGATTCATTAGGATTTTTACATTTCAACGAAGTCCGCTATTGCGGTGGACTTTAGCTAAAAGTGGCGGCACATTACTGGGGTAAAGAGGCCAGCTGAAACAAAACAAACAGCCAACAAAAAGATGAGGATGAGAAAAAGAAAAGTAAAGAAGACATTTTAATACAAAGTGAACAATCGGCGGCAATGGCAAGGTTCGTGAGCGGCTGATTTATGACAGCGACTGTTGTTTCGTAACGTTCATGCGATCAGAAAGAAGATGAGGCTCTTTTTCTGACTACGTGTGCGAGTATTAAACTGTTGATGAGATGGGATGAGATAATGTAACGCGTCGCTGTTGTAGGTTACAGTACAATGACAGTTGCACAGATGTGTGTGCGTGTGCAACTGTGCATGTTGGGAGTTGGGAACCGGTGAGAAAATGTCCGGTACCCGGTAATTTTATCAGTAATAACAGTATCAATTTAGTTCATATTTAACCGTTCCTGAACGCTGTAACTAAAAGCTGTTAAGAGTAAGACCTGTACGTGACTAAATCCGCCATCAACACAGCCGCGTGTGATTTGTTTACGAGCTGCGGTAGGTCTATCTGTTGAGTATATACTATATATGTTGTGTGTGTGTGTGTGTGTCTGTCAAAATCAATGAATACAATTTTTTTTTTTAATGTATGTTATTAGAGTTATTATTACTTGACAGCACTAAAATGTGTGTTCTTACAAGTTAAAGAACAATATTGTGAAATTCCCGGGTTTTTTTTTTTTTACGTTTATGAGGCAAAAAAAAAAAAATGGCTGGTAAA